TGTGGCTAGAACACTACAACACTGGTGAGTTGTGCTTCACTACAACACTGGTGAGTTGTGCTTCACTACAACACTGGTGAGTTGTGCTTCACTACAACACTGGTTAGTTGTGCTTCACTACAACACTGGTTAGTTGTGCTTCACTACAACACTGGTGAGTTGTGCTTCACTACAACACTGGTGAGTTGTGCTTCACTACAACACTGGTGAGTTGTGCTTCACTACAACACTAGTGAGTTGTGCTTCACTACAACACTGGTGAGTTGTGCTTCACTACAACACTGGTGAGTTGTGCTTCACTACTACACAGGTGAGTTGTGCTTCACTACAACACTGGTGAGTTGTACTTTACTACAACACTGGTGAGTTGTGCTTCACTACAACACTGGTGAGTTGTGCTTCACTACAACACTGGTGAGTTGTGCTTCACTACAACACTGGTGAGTTGTGCTTCACTACAACACTGGTGAGTTGTGCTTCACTACAACACTGAGTTGAGGTTTGTACTTTACTACAACACTGGTGAGTTGTGCTTCACTACAACACTGGTGAGTTGTGCTTCACTACAACACTGGTGAGTTCACTACAACACTGGTGAGTTGTGCTTCACTACAACACTGGTGAGTTGTGCTTCACTACAACACTGGTGAGTTGTGCTTCACTACAACACTGGTGAGTTGTGCTTCACTACAACACTGCCGATAGCCCAGTTTGTTGTGCTTCACCTTAGTAGCCTGTTCATCTTGCATTGCTTTCATCCGCCGGTGTAGACGTTGGGTTCTCATGTTGGTCACCGCCGCTTATTCCCTCGTTGAGGTCTTACTGGAGCTCTGTTAGCATGTGTTGCCCAGAACAGTAGACTGCAGGGTTTGTCAGATGATGTAAAGAATATGCCATTATCTGCCTCACGGAGCCCAAGCTGGGTTTCTGTCTGGGGCTTCTCCCATAGCCACATTGGAAGGAACCAACCCACCTCTGCCCATTCATAACCTTTCACACACACACACACACACACACACACACACACACACACACACACACCATTATGTTACTGTTAGACCCTGCTATAACCACTTAATGCTAACTAAAATTCGAAAAACACTATTATTAAAACTATAATCTAAGTGCCTGTGTGTGTGTGTGTGTGTGTGTGTTACAAAGTTATAATGACACTCACTCGTTTATTTAATAATCAACACCGAGACGAACAAATTACTGAAAATTACGTTTAATCCCGAGTTTAAAAAGCGAGTAGTAAAGTTAGTATTTTATTCTGTATATTACTGTTAATATGTTCAGCCAGGGACCATTAGCATAACACAGTCCTTCTCGCATCATGACACGTATTTATTTTAGTGGCTTCTGTATATACAATAATGTAATAGACCTCATCTACCAGCAGGTACTGTACGTGGCGTTTCACTGGTACCGTGTGTGTGTGTGTATGTGTGTGTGTGTGTGTGTGTGTGTGTGTGTGTGTGTCGTAACCCTGACCTTTAGACGAATTATCTATCAAAGGCTAAAGTTATGACACGAGAACATTAAGTAATAGGATGATACCCTGCCGTTATAAAACAAACTTAACTAACCATATCCTAGCCTATCCTAACTATGTTAATCTAACTTAACTCACTTAACAAATCTAACCTAACTCTCCTAACAAATTTAACCTAACTCACATGGCAAAGCTAACTTAACTCACCTGGCAAAACTAACTTAACTCACCTCACCCAACGTAACCTAACCTAACCTATCTTAAGTCACCTGACAAACCTTACGACCTAACCAAACCTACCCACCAGGACCCATAAGGATTATTCTATAAATACTCGTAAGTTCTTCCAGCTGTATTCACTGTCTTATCATATCTTACATAATAATGTATAGGCAGAGAAATAAAATAAAACAAACCTAACCTAACCTAACCTCACCTAACCTAACCTGCCAGGTTCCTGATCTGACTTTCTGCCTCATTTACACACAATTGTCTCAATTGTTTCTCTTACTGTGACAACATAACGTACATATATCGTTTCTCACTATTGACCTTTTTTCATTTTGTATTTCTTTAATGTTCTTTATTATTATTATTATTATTATTATTATTATTATTATTATTATTATTATTATTATTATTATTATTATTATTATTATTTTCAGTGTTGTTGTTATTATTATTTTATTTATATTTTTTTATTTTTTATTAAAAAATGTATTTACTATGGAAATATTAATATTAATGTTATTATTATTTTTACATTTTCGCCCCCAGGCCCCGATGTGGGTCAGTGACCTGTGCCTGGGTGGGCTAATCCCCGTAAAAAAAGAAAAAAAAAACATTACTTCCGTGTACTTCATGACACAGGACTGATCTTTGTGTAATGTTGTATAATATGTTTACTGTTCTCTACCATAATGGAGTTTAGGAGAAGCAGTAGTGTGTTTGATGACACTTTGGTCATATTACTGATAATAGCTCTGACCCCTCCAAACCAATGTTAGTGAGAGAGAGAGAGAGAGAGAGAGAGAGAGAGAGAGAGAGTGTGTGTGTATGTGTGTGTGTGTGTGTGTTGTGGCAGTTCAGATTGACCTTTGTGAAGGCTATGATGGAACCAACTCCCTCATACGCTGCTGACTGGTGCACTTCCAGGAGACTTATTTATTTTTTAAACATTCTACCTTCTGACACACACACACACACACACACACACTACTACTACTACTACCACTACTACTACTTTGCTGTCACTCAGAATCGAATATGACGATCATCCAGCTATGATACAATGGTATGAGTTATTAGGGATGCCACCTAGGTTGGTGAGTTTTGAGGAGACTAAAGAGACCGATACGGGACCCGCAGGGTCGTCCACATGTTATTAGCCCCTGTCTTATAGGCAGAAGTGTTTATATAAATGTGGGTTAATTACACTAGACCTGTATAACTATCACCCCCTGTAACTTTCCACTAGCTATGAGGTTCATGTTCAGAGCACTTGGTGCTGAGCTAAAGATTAAGTAACCGGCTCTCTGGCCACCTATTGCGGGCAGTAGTTTGATAACACTGACGAGAGGAAGACGTTATTAGAGCCATCGTTGATGTGCTTTCGTCTTCCCTCGAGGGAGGATGTCGGCTATATTTTCGTTCTCCCTCGAGGGTCCCTACTCAAGATCATTCCCACTCTGACATCAATCGGACGTATTTAGCAGAGCTATTATAAGTTAGCCTCCGTCCTCATGTAACACTCATAGCTACAGTAATTAAGTTACGGTGATAATCCTTTTTAGAAGTGTACATAGAAACCTTTTATAAAAAATTAAGAAAGAACATTTTGGATTTCACTACAGAAAATCCCCCAAAATTTGATCTATATTTTAGTACGTCTAGAATATATGGTAACATGCTTCACAAGTGATTGTTGCAAGTGGTGACAACCCAGGAAGGTTGTTACACATATGACAGCTTCACAAGTAGTTGTTATACAACGGTAAACAGTCACCCAATAGATATACAGTTGGTAAAGGTAGAGATATTATGTTCTCCCCATTACTGTGTTATACTGTTACAAAGAAGCTATAGTTACAAATTTGGCAAAACGTAGCTTAAGAGGACCCAGTCTAGGACCAGTCTAAGGTAACCGTGACAATTTTGGTAACAGAAGTTATTCGTCACACTGGAGTTGAGTAACAGTCGAGATAATCTGTTCTCCTGTTACTCCTACTGTTATATATAAACTAAACTTTTTCATGGAAGGATAATAATGTTATTAATGTTAATAAATAAAGTTTCAATATTCGTTGCACATGTGGAAGGCTGCATCTAGTGCGGGAGGGGCGGTGGCAGCGTCTTTCAGACATTGGCGTTTGTCTGCCTCGGTTTGCAGTCGGGCTAACTCGAAAGTATTGACACCTTCTCGTGTGGTGCTCCTCCATGCGTTACGATGTGCAGTAATCGACTCTAGGTGAGGGGGTCGATTTGGCACTTTTTCAAGTTTGTCTTAAGACTATCCTTATACTTTTTCAATTGCCCGCCGGCGTTAAGTTTACTATTCGTTAGGTGACTGCAAAGTAGCTGCTTTGGCAGTCTACTGTCGTCCATGTGGGTAACATGGCCAGTTCAGCGTAGCTGTTCATGGATAATGGTAGTCTCGATGCTCCTACAGTTGGTGTCAGCAAGATTATTGGCATTTATTCTAGTTGGTGAAAGTTTTCAAGTGCCATGAGGTGCTTCCTGTATGTTAACCATGTCTCGCTGCCATATAACAGGGTGGGGAGGACCACTTCTCGATATACTGTACATGCAGCTTTGTAGATAATTTAAGCTCCCTACAGCTGAAGACACGGTTTCGGAGTCCGCCAAAGGCTTGAGATGCATATCTGATCCGGTGCCGAATTTCTTCGTCGATGTCTGCGGTGGTGGACAGGTGGGAGCCGAGATACCGAAAGTGAGTAACATTAGAGAGGGTAGTACCGTTAAGCTGGATGGATGGAGGGAGGTGTGTCTGATCCTGGGGCAGGTTGAAAGAGAATCTGAGTCTTACGTACATGCACCTCAAGGCCGAAGTGTGCATACGCATCTGCGTAGGAGTTTAGGATCTCCTGTAGGTCGTGTTCAGTGTGAGCAACAAGGGTGTTGTTGTGTGCATACTGAAGTTCCGCCGGCAAAATTGTTACTGGCACGAGTAAGGACGGCAGCCAAGAAAATGAAAAAGAGAGTTGGTGCCAAATTGGCAGAATAAAATTTGAATTAATCAATTCCAATTCAATTCAATTCATTATGTTCGATATTTCATTCAATTCAATTCAAATGCTTTTAAATTCAAAAATCAATTCTAATCTACTAATCTAATGGAAAGAAATAAAGATTCGAGGTTTCAAATTAACTTCTTTATTTTTTATAAAAAATGCTCTACCACACAAACCAATCACATTCTTTACCAACTAAAAGTTCAAATGGTTTAATTCTTTGTATTAGTAAACAAAATGTGAATGAGTCCAAGTTACTGAGGATTGCATCTGATCATCATAAGTTGCTCAAATCTTTTATCGCTAAAATTGCACCTCTCTGGCCTGAAGAGCTTGCCAGCAATGGAGAACAGTCGTTCCACAGGAGCCGATGTAGCAGGAATGGCCAGGTACTTTGCTGCAAGCCTGGTGAGGACAGGAAACTCGGGCTGCTTGGCCTTCGAGTAGCCAAGGGGATCACCATCTTCCTGTAGACATGGCTGGTTGAGGTAGAGTGAGACCTCAGTTTCTGATGGAGTTGGTCTTGGTGTAGAAGACCGGTTGGCCAGGGCAAAGAACATGTTCCGCTTCATCGGTGGTGGTTCAGCAGGGGAAGTGTCTGTTGTTGTAGGATCAACACCGCGTGACATATTGTATTTCACAGTCAGAAGGTCACGAATGTCTTGCACTTCATTGTCATAGTCATGACATCAGTCCGGCTTGTAACGTGGGTCTAAGGTGGCAGCTGGCTGGAAAGCCTCCATAGACTCAAACTTATTCAGACGAGTCTCTCTTGAGGACTGAAGTACAGAAACAAGTTTACTTTTATACACTTCATGAAGACTAGCTAAAGCAGCCCGAAGACCACCAACACAGTTAACTACCAGACAAGATGTCACCATGTTTTGTCCCTGAATCTGATTAGTCACATACTCAAATGGCTCGAGTATATCACAGAGCTCCTTGATGCTGTTCAGCTCATACTGCTTCAGCTTGTAGGGAGTGTCAAGTTTGTCCTACACTTCAGGTGAAACTCGAAGTACTGACCTCATCATCGTCAACTGGCTATTCCAGCGTGTACAGTCGTGAACAGAAGTCCTGTCGCCCCTTGTGCTGTTCCGCGAACCAAGAGATTCAGACTCATGAACACGAAGCAGTAGACACTGGTGCATTATTCTGCCCATAAATGCTTCTGGTTCATGAGTCTGAATCTCAGGGTTCGTGGAGCAGTACAAGGGGCGACAGGACTTCTGTTCACGACTGGGAGGAAGTTTTCTGTCTCAGTAAGGAGACTGTTTAGGAAGATTCGGGCGATAACCTTGCCAGCTACGGAGAGCAGCGAGATCCCACGGTAGTTGCCACAGTCTGACCGGTCTCCCTTGTTCTTATAAATATTGACAATGGAAGCATCTTTAAGAGCTTGGGGGGATTTCCTCCTTTTCCCCTATATTCTCCAGGAGAGAGTGGAGACGGTCTGGTAAACAGAGGTCCTCCTGCCTTATACACCTCGGCTGGGATTCCATCAAGCTCTGAGGCTTTGTTATTTTTCATCTGTTTGATGGCAGTAACTACCTCATCCAGGGATGGAGGATAGCTGAGGTGGGTCAGCTCTGGATGCTGAGGGACCTGCTGGGTAGTCAGGACATCCACATCGGTGTTTCGGTTGAGCAATGAATGGTCGTGCTCTTTCCGGCGCTGAAGGAGGCCTTCATCGTTTTTAAATATGAAGTTACTGTCAGATGAGCAGAGGGGGGCTGCGCCACGAGTGGTTGGCCCATAAAATGTTTTACTGGAATTGAAAAATTCGCTCATCTTGTGCTGATCTGCATTTTTTGTATATCACATGCTTTATTTTTAAGCCAGTCATTCTTTAGTATGAGAAGTTCCCGCTGGGCTGCTGCTTTCTTCTTGCGGAAGGTATCAGCTTTGGTTCGAGACTGAGGGTTGTTCTGCTAGTCAGTAAAAGCAGCACGTTTATCATCGATGAGTACTTTGATTGCCGCGTCGTTTTCCTGAAACCAGTCCTGGTGTATTCTTTTGATCTTGCCGAGGGTCTGTTTGCAGGTTTTTGTCATAACAGTGTTGAGAGTATCCCATTCAGCACTGGAATTCGCGTTGTTTGCTGTTGGGTTGTTTATAAGCCCATGTTCGAGCTGCTTTCTGAAGGCATGTGCTACTGATGTGTCCTCCAGACGCTTATTATTAAAACCTCTTCTGGAGGTTTGCTGCCTTCTCCGTTTTGGGGCGACGTGACGTAAGAGCTTGGCTCTGACAAGTCGATGATCAGTGTCACAGTGGTCTGAGCCACGCATGGCATGGGTGATGAGGACATCTCGGCGATCTCTTTCTCTGACAATGATGTAGTTAATGAGATGACAGTGTTTCTATCGTGGGTGTTGCCACGAACCCGTGAACTTGTCGAAACAAGGTATTGGTGATAGTGAGGCTGTGCGCAGTACACTCGCTGAGGAGGAGTAGGCCGTTGGCATTACACTTACCTAGTCCGTGTCTCCCTATAGTTCCCTGCCAACTCTGGCATTGAAGTCGCCAAGGAGCACAACCTTGTCTTCTCTGGGGATAGAGATTAGCACTCTGTCAAGGTCAGCGTAAACGGCCTCCTTGATGTCATCCTCTGCATGATGTGAGTGATTCAGTGGGACTCGAAGCGTCATGAGGTGCTCGTTGATCCCAATAGGCATTTGAGTTAGCCCGTGTAGGATGCGTTGACGGATGGCAAAGCCAACTCCATAAATGCGGTTTCTCTCCACAGCAGGCTTACCCTTTCAGAAGAAGGTATAGCCAGACCCCGTTCTGTGAGCTGGCTGGCCCTCATCTGGGAGCTGGGACTCATTGATGGCTGCTCTGTCGATATTATACCTAGCCAGATCTTTTGCCACAAGGGCAGTTCTTTTTTCAGGATGCTCATTTGTGCCAGTATCCAGAAGGGCCCTGACATTCCATGCAGCGACCATAAGAGGCTGTACGGTTTGTTTTGTTTGGATCAGTGATTTTGACTGTGTTTTCTACAGTATAAGGATGACCTTACCGGGTGCGGTTGCCCAGTCAGGTTGGGTTTTTAGGCAGGCTATGTTTAGGGCACCTTTTCTATCTCCCTCCCCATGTGGGGTGAGCAGAGCAGCTCCTCGAAAGGGCTGCTCAGTCGCACAGACAGGACCGGATTGCACTGCTGCCTAGATCTCAGTGCATAAACGACCATCTTATCTGTGCGGCCCATCTGCAGAGTTGCGACTAGAGACTCCCGGCAGTCATCTCTGCCTGTCCCCGTCGCCACTCGTCCGTCACCATAGGGCTTTTTGGGGGTATAGGGGTTTTGTTGATAATGAGAGGTATGATGAACTGAATGATGGCTGTGCGTGAGCTGATTTATATGGCGAGGCAACCACACATCTTGGCTCTCCTCTTTCCTGATCCAGTGGTGCAAGTGTTGCAACGACTGGGGAGAGGGAAAGTTGCAATGGACTGCCGATAGCCCAGTTTATTGGGCTTCGCCTTAGTAGCCTGTCCATCAGGCATTGCATTCGTCCACCGGTGTAGTCGTTGGGTTTCCACTGTGGTCACCTCTTCCGCCTATACCGCCGTTGGGGGCTTATTGGAACTCTGTAAGTCTGCCTGAAGCGGGGCGCCACCGCATATTTTTCGTTCCGGGTTTACTCCCGTAGCAATTATACCTACCACGGTTAATCTGCAAGGCAGCGGGGCAATGGTTGGTAGGCGCCAGGACGTGTCCACATGCCAGTGGGCTTATGCGCCGTCCTTCTGGGGCCCTCATAACACCATCTGTGAGGGAGTTGCTACACTACATGTCTGCTGTTCAACACCTCAGTGCACATGATCTACGTGACCTCCACTGTAAACATTAATCTGTATGTTTACTGTATGTTCCTTTACCTTTCTCTAATGAAGGCTTTTGTTAAACTACCAATGTATGTAATAAGTCATTCATGTTTAATGTATATTTTCAGCCTTCGGGCTGCAGAACTTTTTCAATAAACCGTTAATTATTATTATTATTATTATTACACACACACACACACACACACACGTCGCAAACGTATGAATTTAAGCATCCACCTAAAGAGAATAACACTGGCCATATAAACAGGACACCAACCATCTTGCCAGCAATAGAGAGAGAGAGAGAGAGAGAGAGAGAGAGAGAGAGAGAGTCACCATATAATGCACCAAACTCCGCCTTACACAATACATTAGACAACGTATTGTAACACATTAAGTTCTCAGTTCCCAGCATTATATATCATTTCACCAAAAGGCCAAAAGAATTGCTTTAATTCCGTAAAAATCTAGAGACATCGTAATCTGGGTGCAAGAGCGAGGCGGAGGATGCGTGAGGTGGCGGGTGAGGAATGGTGCGTCACTCGCCACACCCCCACGATAAGTTTCTCAGTCGCTAATCTCCTGTGGTTGGCAATAAAATATGGAGTAGCCGTAATGGCACGCTGCGACACTCGGGGGGTCGTGGCCTGGCCTTACTCTACGTGTTTATAATTCGTTAAGTTGGCTGGACTGCCCCTCCACAACTGGACAGTAGAGTTATCCTGCAAGGCAGCAGCTTGAGTTAAACACCACACATACATGCAGTACACCGACAAATTCTGCATATCGGGTAGTTGGTTTTCGTGTGAGGCCAAACTAGTGTGATATTGACGCTGTTATTCTACAAACTGTGAATCACCTGAGGTGAAAAGTAAACGTGAGGCTTTGCAGTAGCACTAGTCCTGTCTACTGTACCATCATCAGCTATATAAACAAGGCTGAAAAGAGAGTTTATCAAGGATAAAGTGTGATTTATGAGAACCACCTGTAAGTGTCGCAATGTACGATATATTTACTAACAATACAACTGAACACCGACACTGCCAGGCGACCAACACATAGTTATCAGTCCTGGAAAATATTTCTTTGCTTAGATTTACAAACACATTAAAATGGATCTTTGGATCTGAAGCTACGGATGTTTCCTGAAGGCGGAAATGTCAACATTCAATATTTAACCTCACGTGTCCGCCGAGAAGCTTGTAGCGCTGTTTGGTCCCGCTGAGCCGAAAAGCGCGCGAAACTTGTGTAAACAAAGGGGCTTTTCCTTCTGGCGCGTGTTTGTTTTCTCGCCAAGGTGACGTCCCTCTCAGATTTTAGTGTGATTTTCTTTAAACACCTCCCGGGATGCAAGTTTGTTTGCGGAAGACTTTATTTTTAAAATGGCAGAGGCTGGACGTCAGGCGGTGTTTACAGTCAGTAAGCCTGGGTGGCGAACTAGAACGGGTGTTGATACCCAGCGTCACAGGAGACACGCCTATCAATTTGTGGGTAAAACACCTCGACAAAATCTCCCTAGATAATTTTTCACTGGACAAAATCCTACAACAGAAAATCTCACCACTAAAATAGTAAAGCGGATAAAATTCACAATTCAACTTTCCTTATGTTCTCATCACTGCTAAGTTCGGATAAATCAACATTGATCTAGATTACTTTGGGTAAAGTTAAAATAGCTCGCTTTTTGTCCTATAACCTGTTTATATTACCCGCCGGTGCTCAATCAGTGAAAATAGGAAAAAATGTGAAAGCTAAATGGCCAGTTTTCCCGTTATGTCCTGACTAGCACAAAGGG